GTTTAATGAAATAACTTTAAAACAAAGACTTTCATATGATATGAAGTCTTTCAAACAACAATCTATAAATCGAATATGAAAAAAAAACAAATCATAACTAATTTATCTAATTGATTTTTATTTTCTTTGAAATTTTATTTAAAAATCTTTTGCTTAATTTGATCTTTCAATTCGAAAAGAAGACTAATTATCATTATATAACAATGTAACTCTAAATTTATTTAGCGTCAATTCGAATCGGCTGCTTTTTGGGGTGATAAATTACTTTCATTAAATCGAAGTAAATTATTTATTCTTTATAATATTTAATAAAGATTTGCTTATCTTTAGATTCACCTGATGATTTACTTCTTGTTGCAAAATGTTTTATGTCCAATGGTGATTATAATCGAACACGTATTCTTCTTGAAAATTCTCCTATGTATCATGTAAAATTTTTATTTTTACTATAAACAAAATTTTATTTTATTTTATTTTTGTCTTCTAGACAGATCCTCAATTTAAATATCTTGTTGCTCTTTGTCATGTAAATAGAAACTTATAGAAATTTTATCTATAGTCTTTTAAACTAAAATTTCTTGTTAGTTCAATTTAAAAGATTATCAAACAGCAGCAAATGTTCTTGAAGTACTTGAAGAATTTCTTGATGTTGATCAACAACAACAACAACAACAACCAGGAACATCATTTAAAACACCATTTACACCAAAAATAACAAATATTGAATTTTCTAATCCAGTATTATCATATTTTATTAACTTATTCTTTTTTTTTTTTCTTAATAACATATTTTTTTTATTTAGCTTCGTGCATCAATATGTTTATTACGTGGAAAAGTCGCTGAAATTCTTGGTTCATTACAACAAGCAATGAAATTTTATGAAGACGCTCTTCGTTTCGATGTTTTTTGTGCTGAAGCATATGAAAAATTAATTAAGAAACATATGTATACACCAGAAGAAGGTATTCTTTTTCTTGTTTTTGCTTAATTTATGATTGATTTTTAGAACAACGATTGGTCGAAAGAATGGTCATTGAAAAACAATGTGATTCTGATGTTGCTTCAGTTGTACGATGTTTATATGAACAAGAAATTCATCAAGTAAAAGAAATTACTTTAAATTTTATGCCGATAAGAAAATGTTCTTAAACGAAATATTAAATTTTATTTAGTATATGAAACCAATCATTGTTAATCTTCCAACATTTACCGTCGGTTTATTAAATGATAATGCCGATTATTGTATAAATGTATGTTATATTAAATAAATAAAATAATATTCTAAACAATTTTCATTCTATTTAGATTGCAGAAAAATTTTATTATAATTATAAATTTCGTGAATCATTTGATTTATGTAAAAAGTATGTGGTATTTGGTTCTTTTTCTGAAGGCGGAAACAGCAAACTCCAAGATTTTCTAAGACTTCAAGCTCAAAGTCTCTGCTAGAGCCCATTAGGTTAGTTTCTAACATGTTAAACATCGAATATAAATACCGAGCAAGATGACTATCCAATTTCAATTAAGAAAATTTCACTGAGAGTATTGGAGAATGCTTCGATCAGATCTGAAAAAGTTTGATAAACCGACAGGCTTTCGTCTCTGCTGTTTCCCTTTCGTTTTAATAATTTATTTGTATTTAATTATTTATAGAGTTCTTACTCATAATCCATTTCATCAACATGGTTTATTTATATATATTGCATTACTTTATGAAATGAAAGATAAAACTGGTTTGTAATTCATGAAAAAAAAAAGAAAAATAGATATGATTATTGTTTTACATAGAATTATTTAGTTTGGGACATCGATTAGCACGACAATGTCCAGAAAATCCAGTATGAAGATTTAAAAATTATTTCAAAAACAAAATAATGAAATATTTTTTGCAAATTTTAGATTAGTTGGTTGGCAGTTGGTTGTTATTATTTGGTAACAAAAAAACCTGAACCAACACGTCGTTATTTAGCGTATGAGATTTAATAATTTTTTTTTGCGTGTGTATTTTTTGATTCATTTTATTTTAGAAAAGCGACATCATTATGTCGAAGTTTTGGTCCAGCATGGCTTGCATTAGGTCATTCATATGGTCTTGAATCTGAACATGATCATGCTATTTCAGCATATTTTACCGCTGCAGATGTTATGCGTGGGTATGTAGAAGTTTAAATATTTTTTAAATTTAAATATGACTTATAAATTTTTGTTTTGTATAGTTGTCATTTACCAATTCTTTATGTTGGTCTTGAATATAGTTTAACAAATAATCTTCGATTAGCTGAACGTTTATATTCCGAATCATTAAAATTTTATCCCGATGATCCAGCTGTACTTCATGAATTAGGTGTAATTAATTATCTTAATCGAGAGTATGTATTAAAAACAAAAGACTTTTCAAACGAGAATGAAAGTCTATCAAAATTTTATTTAGATATCATCATGCATTACTTTTTTTTCAACGTGCTTTAATTAAAGTTGAAGCTATTGATCAAGTTGATTTATTGCCATATTGGGAACCATTATTTAATAATATGGGACATGCATGTCGGAAATTAAAGTAAGAAAATAAAATTCTATACGAATAAAAAGAAAATTTATTTTTATTTTTGTTTAGAAAATATGATGAAGCTATAATACATTTTAAAAAATGTCTTGGCTTAACACCACGTAATCCACAAACACTTATTGCTATTGGATTTGTACATGCTTTACAAGGAAATTATGGTCAAGCTATTGAATATCTTCATCAAGTAAGAATTCTTTTTTCTTTCTATTAAATCGAAATTTATTTTTCTTTAGGGACTTTGGTTAAGTCCAGCTAGTTCATTTGCTCAAACACTTTTAAATAAATGCTTTAATATGACACAAAGTAAAACTTATGTCGAACAATTACCAGGTAAAATAACAAAACTAAAGAGAAAATAAAGTTGTTTTTTTTTTTTCTTTGAATACTAGAACCACCAAATGATCTCAATGAGTATTTGTCAACTCGACAAAATAGTGCAATTTCTCAAACAGAAATAAACCCGGTTTCAGCACCACTTCCTACTGTAGAAGAAACGGATCAAGGAAGTTCATCAATGATTACAACATAGAACATTAAAAGAAAAAGAACACGAAAAAGAAAAATTTATATTTTTCAAAAATAAAATTGTCAGATTTTTTTTTCCTTTGTCTTCTACTATTATTAATTCTTTTATTTTTATTGGACATATATTACATCAAGATTTTGATTGATTATCAATATCATCATTTTTTTTAGGATAGATATAAACACGTGATAAATTTAATTTTTTATCACTTATACCAATTAAATTTAAATCATTTCCATTTGGATTATTTAGTGTTGCTTCATCAGTTCGACTACTTGTGCTTACATTATCATCAATAGATGTTGATGTTGTACTAAAAAATAAATTTGTACCAAGAATATAATTATATTGACCTTGAAATGTATATGGACCAATTTGAATAAATGGATTAATACCATCAATATCAATTGCTCGAATTTCAGATTTTACAGCATGTTCGAGAACAGTGTGTTGATCAATATCATGTCCAATATCAGCCATTATTAGAAATTCTTCCTCTTCTTCTTGTTCAGCATTGTTGGAAGATTTTGTTGATTGATCTTTAGTATTTGAAGGAGTATCTACTTCCATATAATTGATTAAATTTTTTGTCTTATGTTTTGTTTGGTTCGAAATATTTTTTTCAATGTATTTCATTGATAATGATTTATCCAGTAGTAAAAATTCATGAATTTCCAAATACTGGCATATTACTCCCTCTTTCGAATAAAGAAGGAAAACAGACAAAGACTTGAAAAAATATTCGACAAACTATTAACAATTAGTTTTGTATATGATGTACAGAAAACATGTAGAATATATTTGACAATGAAAAATACAATAAAAGAATATGAAAGTCATAAATTGAAAAGCATCACATAATATGCAATGTTGATTCATTCATTATATGATTATGTAAACTTCTACGATTAAAGAACATTATTGACAAAGAAGAATATCAATAACTTATTGTTCATCCGTCAAAGCGAAAGATTTTAATAGTTTAAACTTTTGAATTACAAATACAATGTTGTATTAATCGTTTAGGTTGACTACGTTCTTCTGTTTACTTATAACAAAATGGACGATTGAACATCACAGAGATGGAATTGATTCAGTTTCAAAAAAAGGACGAGCAAATTCCATGTGTTGAACATTGTTAATACTCTCATTGATGAAGAAGTATTTATACGTTGTACATAAAGAAGAAACAATATTAACCTAAGAAAATATTTACATTACTCAAATTAAAGCAATAGAAAAAGAAAGAATGATTGATATATCTAACAGGATTGTTATCAACAACGAGGATTTGTCATGTGCTCAATATAATTCTTTATCAAAGAAATGCATATTTTTATTAATTCTTAATCGATATCAACAATGTTAAAAATACTTTTGATTGAACAGATTTATGAACGATTCAATTTTATATCAAAACGAAATATTAAAAGAATTAAAATTTACAAATGTTTTCGTTGTCGTAAAGTCTTCATATTTCGAATACAAAATTCTTAAGTCTATCAAATATTGATTCTAGGTAAGTTTGGAATATTTTCAAGAACCTACGCACAGTTTAGTAAGTACATATCAATGAAAAATTATAAGTATGTATGACTCCTCTTTTATTGTTTTGAAGCAACTGTCACATATAGGTAAATGCAAGTCAGACACTTGTTTTTCATACTTGTTATATTAATAAGAATGATTGAGAATGTCATATTCATGAGAGTTATGATATATCTACATACATTTATACGTGGTTATATCATGTATGTTTTACATTCTTCTTTTATGAACAAAATTTTTCTTGTCAGCCTATTGCATCTTCATATGATCGATTACTATTACACATTATATTTTCATGTTTTCAAAGTAATATATAAATAGACCTTTGGGAACGTATAATATCGTTAAATTTTACTACGATGGTATTACTTATTCATTTCGTCATTTTTATGTTATTCATAAGAGTTTGTAATGGTATTAGATGTATTGATGAAATTCAATTACAATTCTCATCATCTGAACTTCATTTAACTAAAATTGAAACAATTTTTAACAGTCTGAAACGTAGTAATAATGCCATGTGTCAAGTATATATGGAATGGGATTCTATTACTCAAAAATTTATGATAAAGTTCGGTCAATCGATGACATTACCACATCTTCGTTCTGTTGAAAACGTTTATGTACACATATATACTTCTATTATATCAGTCAATGCAGAGAAGAAAATAAATCAAACATCGATTAAGACTATAGTACATTTAGTATGCTATAGCAATGATAAATGTGATGATCAGTTCGTAGTTGAATATTTCAATCGGTTGATTCAAACAAATTATAAAAATTTGGAATCGACTATTCGTCCTTTGATACTCGTTCAAGGTGACAAAAAAAGTAAGAAAAACCTATGTAATGAATCTTTATTCGAACGAAAAAGATTTAATTTCATGTTAAAATTTAATCATTAATAAAATTTCACAAATTTTTCTTTAGATGAATGTACTATTGGCAATGGGGATGATATAAAACCTTGTTATCATAATTCATGTTCATGGTATTATTCAATGGATACAAAGTCTGCTGAAAGTAAATGTGAAAATATAGATCTGCAAGTATTACCATTGCTTAATCTCACAACTGAAATAAGAATGTTTGTCAAGCACAAAGAACAAGAAGAAAGCGAAGAAACTAAATCTATTCGAGCAATCTTCAAACATCATTCATCAATCAAATTTTGGTGTGAATTAAACAATTGTAATAATCAAAAGGTTGGCAAACTTGTTAAAGAAGCTGTAAGTAAACAATATGATTTATGGACAATGAACAGGGCTTACAAAACTGACCGGAAACGTATTATCAGATGAAAAGAATTAAATTTCTTCGATTTCTTCTATCAGTATTCGATCAAGAACTTTTAGTTGCTCCACTAATCCTAGTATTATCGTCAATATGATAACAACTACGAAAGATATATAATCATATACTATAAATATAACTCTGATGTCAATATCAACAATAAGAACACGACAATGAAGAATATATTACTTTATTTTTTCATTTTGTTTTATTCATACATATTGTCATTCTCTATGCTTTACTTCTTTCGGAATCTACTTCAAATAAATAAAATTCAAAGATAATCTGAATTTTTCTTCAAACGATCAGACAGCTTTTAATAAATATAAAGACAGACTCAAACATAGCCTGTTCTTCAAAAAAAGAACCCTCCATTAATTTGTTTTTCTTCGTAATCTTTTCTTTGTTAATAACCTTTTGCCAGTAACTATAAAAGAAGTAAACTAGTAGTCAAAAGTGGCGCCGCCAGGTATAAGTAATCAAAACTACAATCATATGAATTTATCTCTTTCTCATGATCAAAGTTCAATGAGCTCTGATCATTAACATCAAATAACCCTGTAGACGATGAAGCACAGCAGAGTCATGAATCGAATAGTATTTTATCTTTTAGACACCTATTTCTCAGTCATCTGACGATATATCACGAACTCTGCAATTAGTAATTACTTAAGAGTTTTTCTTCTTATAATTATTGCAGACTTTCGTGGCGCATTCATTGTTATTTTCGTTACATTTAGAAATTACTATTGCTGTCTCTTGAGCTTCATCAATGATATGAAACTGTTTATCTTGCAAAATGCTCGTAAGAAAGACTTTTACTGTAAAAGTTGAAATAATGATCTATGAAAATTTTGAGTTGTTTCTCTGTTATTGTGTCAGCTAAGAGTACACTTTCTATTGATATGTGAATCTCTAATCATCTTGTTTTTGTCATAGAAAACACATCTAAATTTGTCGAAATTCTAAGAAATGGTAAATTGTGCATTATTGGAGTCGATCTTCTTCTATAACTTCTATTCATTGATAGTTATCGCTCTCAAACTTTCAACAAATCAGTCTTCGCTATGAAAAGTTCACTACAGAAATTTTCGATTTAAATGGTTAATAGTTACTCGACTTATAGTTAACTTAATAAAAGTTTCTGAGACCATAGCTACCACGAGACTCTCAAACGAAGATGTAAAGCTAAGCAAGGCAAATATCTCTTATCGCGATAATTTTATCGGAGAATGCCTAGGCATAGAACTATTGAATGAGGAAAAGAGTAAAAGTAAAGGAGTTAGAATGACTGAGAAATGGATATCTAAAGAGCAAAACATTGTTTGACTCATAACTCTGCTGTGTTTTATCCTATCCAGAATTGTTTATTGCTTAGGATCAGGGTTCACTGAATTCCAGTCATAAGAGAAATATGACTCTAAATGTTTGGAATTTCGATTAGTTTTACCTGATGACGCTACATTGGACTAGTGGTGTAAGTGCGCACTTTGTAAATGTATCAGAGTCTGATAATCTAAAAATGTACATGTTGGTGAAAGAATGGATGGGCGAAAGTATAAAGATGAGGTCTACTCATGATCCTAATCCATTCAGTTATTGACAATCATCCTACATCCACGTCTTCAACCTTTCTCTACCGAAAGACATACCTGTACATTCTCACTCACCTGTCGAGTCTACGAAAGTTGCACACCGGAAGACGTGCACGAGATAAAATTCATATTAATACTCCGAAAGATAGTAAAAATACAACGAGATAACAGAAGAAAGAAAATTTCTATTTTATTTTCAAGATAATAAATATAGTAATTAAGCATGTAAACAAAGCAAAAATAAATAAATTTTAAGTTGTTGCTATTGTATAGATATATGTAAATCAAGAAGTCATTATAATCTGATAATGTTATCCAATTATAGAGCAATACTATGTGCTATACCAGTTATTTGATCGATAATGTTTTGAGGAAGATCTGAAACAAGATTAAGTAATCGTTTATCAAGATATTGATACTTCTTTTTTTAACAACTGGTCCGCCGACATTGACTCAAACGATCTTGGTGTAAATATTAGAAACTTCTTCTAATATTATTTTTTCAATAAACTCCCATAATGTTGAATGTGAACATTGAAAAACACATTCTGAAAGCAGAAAATTATTCATATATAGAAATTAGTCTTTTATTTTTATTTATAAGCATACTGATGCGCCTGTTCTAGACCTCCGCTGAATTATTAATTCGCATCTGTTGATTTTTAGTTCGTTCATGGACTTTCCAATATTCAATAGTAAATAGTGGTTGTGCACGTGATCTATTTACCCGAAAACGACCAATGTAATTATCTGCAAAATAATCTAACACAGTTTGAAACGTATCATCGGGATGGATGGTCAGATCTACGAATGCATTAATAACATCATTTGGAAGAATAAAAGCTAATGCTGCAGTTTTATGTATGCCATGGGCAAAATCAACATCATCTTCGTATTGTTTGTGTAAACCTTGTGTCTAGAATAAATGATACATAATATTACACAAAACTCTAATTTACGTATTTTCTATTATATAAGTTAATCATACCTGTAATTGTCGATGAATGCTCTGACGCAGGTGAAAATAGCAACCAGATAAAGAAACTTGTGCAAAATTATTTGAAAGAACGTTTAAAACAGTTTTTTCAAAGTCCAGCATTATAGTTCGAGGATTCCATGCTGGTGCAAATTCTAATATTTTATTAATCATTTCTTGATAAGTGGTGGTGTTTTTTCGTCGAAGTAAACAAAATGCAACAGGAATAATATGTTCACGATGTACAGCATGGAACACATGAAGCTGATAAAATATTGCAGGAACAATCTAAATTAAAACAAAAATTTTCGATTAGTAAAATATGGATTAGTTTTTAAAAAGATATTTCGTATACATCAAAAGTTCCGTCCATCAAAAAATCAGTTGATGATCCTAAAATTGCAGTCTGTTCAGGGTTGCCAAAGAAGAGCAGTCGATCAGGACCTAAACAGAAGTATTAAAATAAGTGACTAATCGAGCTCTATTAAATATTTCTCTTAAATCGTCAGGAGGTGTGTATTACTTACCTGGACATGTATCACTACATTAGAAAGTATCATTTCGTTTTGCTGATTGCAAAACTACAGGAACAGAATGAAAATCCACATCATTTGGTATTTGTGGTAAATCAAGCTTTTTTCGATGTTGTTGAATTGTTCTTTTAATATGATCTAATGATGATAATCGTATACTTGCTGAATCAGCTAATTTTGATATGCATTGTGATAATACAATATCTGTTGTTTCTTGAGTATTTTTTGCACGATGTGTTACATTTTCATGAAATTTTCTTAATGATATTTTAATTTGATCTCGATTGCAACTTGTTGCATGATTACCATGTTGTTTTAATATCATAAAATGTCTTGTAGTAACAGAATTATTACATGTATGTATACGATAATGACAATTAAAAGTTTTATGATTTTCACCACGCCAATAAGTTTTGTGTTGGTTCAACGATCTTGACTATATAAATAACCATCTAATATCATTCAAGGACGATGTTTTGTAGCAGTAGTGAATTCGACAGGAGTACACATATATAAGAATAATTGACAATGAACTGTTTCGAAGGTGAATGAATGATCATATCTCATATATGTGACACATTTGTTCTCGAAATGAGCTCATTTTAATGAGATTAAACTATCAAAAAGTCTACGTCTAATTATTACAGTTTATGATTGATTGGATTATATGATTACTCATTTGTAAATATGAAATTTTATCTCGTGCGCAAATGATCCGCGCGCAAGTTTTGGGTTCCCGAAGACAGTGACTATCGTGACTAGAGATGTTGTTCAATAGTAAAGTCGCTTCATCATGTTTCATATTGCAATCTCGGAGAGGTTACACTGGATTCTTTTATATTTGATCTTTATATTATGTAAGCCTTTTTTTCAGGTATCAAAACTGCAACCGAACATCGACTGGAGACGAAATTCTATGACCAAGTATGGTCATGTGAAGATCTTAGTCCAGATATTTTAACAAGAGAACTCAATAAAATATTTAAGTTGAATGATACGACTACACAAACAGACAATTATTCGAATATTTACTTCAATGTCAATTCGAAATATGCGTACTCATCGTCGGGTAGTGTCGAAGTAGGAGCTAGTGCTGACGTTCTGGGCATCATCGCGGCATCATGTAAAGTAGCTGGTTCTTATGCACAGGCATTAGATACTGAAAACGAGACAACTCAACATGATATCATGTCACTAATGGACCTTAAACACTTGGTCTCTTAAGATTCCATTGAAGTTGAATAGACAGGTAAAAAACTAGAGTCAAGAAATTTCACCGTATATAAATTAGCCGACGTGACTAGGGGTGGGAAGTTACCGTTACCGTTCCCGGATAACGGTAACGGAACAGTTACCAGTTACCCGGGAACGGGATAACGGGACCGTTACCGTTCCTAAGGTAACTGATAACGGACCCGTTACCCCGTTCCCGGGTAACTGGTAACTTTTTATGCGGCATCCGTTACCGTTACCGTTCCCAGGTAACGACCTGGGAACGGTANTCACACTAAGTTATAGTTTGAAGCTATATAAGCATTTTTCAAGAGATGTTTTTCCATGCGAAAGGTGCTTTCGTCAAAAACTCATTTTTTCCAAAATAAGGATCAGAGAAAAATGAAAATATAGGTACTTTATTGGAAAGTTAAAAGAAAGTCAAATAATAATATCTTTTGTAGGATAAATTTTGGTCTATACGTTGATATATGAATAAAAGTTTTAACTTTTAGTTTTCTAATCCCAATAATGAAAATATACGAAAAATTTTCTGTACAATTTAATCTTTTTAGATCTTTCAAACATTTAATCATTACTTTCGAATAAAAACAGACACAATATTTCTGAGTTCATATACAGAAAGAACAAACAATTCTGGTTATTATTAATTACTTTTAGTTCTCACTAGTTTCTTTAAAGTGATTCGAAAATAAACAAACATTTTGTGCCAAGACTTTTACGCAGTAGGTTATGTAGAGAATTCGTAGTTATTTTTTTTTGAAGTTTTTTTACTCATGAGGTAATCGAATATTCCTATTAAAGTATTCTACTTGATATCTTTTACAGTATAACTAAGTTCTTGTATTTTGTTCGTTTTGCATAAGAGAATGATGGTTTGGTAAAAAATTTAAACTACAAATAAGACTAAAACTACTAAATCTATATTGACAACTCTTAATGATTGAATTTTTCAATTTCATTATATATATTATCTCGTTTTATTTTAGCTAATTGAAAGTTAAATATTTCTATCTATTCGGGTAAGTTGAAGTAAACAAACGAAATCATATAAAATAATCTATGCCATAAGCTCCATGTTTACAATTGAAATTGAAATTTTAGAAAAAAAAACTCAAACAAAAATTAAACATAGTTTTAATAGAATAATTAAATGGATAAAATTGTTGGTAAATACGTTAGATACATTAGTATAACACATTTTATATTAATACATGATTGATGATCACTTCTTTTCTGATACGATGTATACAAAGTATATATATATGTATTGAGAAAAGAAAAACGATATAATTCATTTGTTTTTCTACAAAATTCATTGAATAATTCTGTCAGATAATATTCGTTTATTTATTATTAATCGTTTATGTTGAGTATAATTTATCATTTTTTCTATTTATTAAAATATTTTTTTATTCTTTTATTTTAATAAATCAATGCTTATATACTGAATAACATATTGCTTTTTTTTTCTAAAACAACAAAATACATATAAAAAAATTGAATATTCTCTTTCTCAATATATTCCTCTCTATATAATAGTTGATTAATGAAAATTTCTGCTATAGATTCAATATGAGTGTAACGTAACATAAGATTAAAATGCAATATATTTGAATATATAAATATAATGTGAAATATTTTAACTGAACTTGATATAATATAATGATTTTTATCTTTCTAAAGGTATCTCTTACAGACGATATAAGCAGCTAATTATATTTTAATTCTAATCAATAATAAAACTTTTGTTTAATTTTTTCATTTTATCTTCGTGTCTTATGTTTGAAAGTTAAATTATATTCATGAACATTTTCATAATTCAATTTTCTTCTTAATTAAATTAAAATTTCAAAGTATAAAAAGTAAATATTCTAATAAAATGTTGTAGAGCAATTCAATGAAGTTGACTTGGTATATGTCATGAGATAGATTAAAAATAATCGTACAATATAACATCAAACTATTCTATTAGAATTTCTTTTTATTGAAAAATTTCATGAAAGACGATATTTTTTTTTTCAGAATAAATATTTCATTATTAATTATCATTTATTTCATTATTCTCTAGTAAGACAAAAAAATCGGTAGATTCCCGTTTCGTCGAAAACTTAATTGATTTTCCCGTTTCGTCGAAAAATTTGATGTAGTTTTTTTTCGTCATTCCCGTTTCGTCGAAAATGAAAAAACGACTATTCCCGTTTCGTCGAAAATGAAAAAACGACCGTTCCTGTTTCGTTGAAAAATTAAATTTTAATAAAAAAAGTNAAACTCTCTGATCAAAATATAGAGATATCCATGAGAAAACGTTTTATCAGAGACATTTACGATTGGGTAGATTCCCGTTTCGTCGAAAAATTAAATTGTAATGAAAAAAGTATAATCAAAGTGATAAGCTCAATTTCTTTGATTGACTTAAACTGTTTCCTTAAAAAGAAACTAATTGATATCTCTATACTAGTAAGCTGTAATTTTGAAAAAGTATATATATATGTGGAGTAAAAAAGGAAAATTCGTTTTTTTTTGTTATATTCATTATTACACAAAACGATGCTATCTATTGTTGAAAGTAAACGTAATAAACCAACATTATTACTTGATACTTTTCGCTACACACAAGATAAAATATTAAACACAACTGTTTATTGGAAATGTGAAAATCGGGTGTGGGTGTGGGTGTGGGTGTGGGTGTGGGTGTGGGTGTGGGTGTGTGAGTGTGGGTGTGGGTGTGTGCGTGTGGGTGTGGGTGAGGGTGTGGCTGTGGGTGGGGTGTGTGGTGTGGGTGTGGGTGTGGGTGTGGGTGTGGGTGTGGATGGGTGTGGGTGTGGATGTGGGTGTGGGTGTTGGCGTTGGCGTGAATGCAATAAAATAACCACACACCTATACCCCACCCGATCCACACCCACACCCACACCCACACCCTACACTTACTTCTTGTAATGAAACATAACTAAAACAAAATAGAAATCATTGGTGAATCATGCGCAGCAAGAGACTGTCAGCATGTATTGCATAAAGTTTACCTGCAAGAATTATTATCTATTGACCCTGACACGGTAACCTTAAAGACTATCACTTTTTATCGACCTGGGGTCCGTACGGATCCAATTGGATAAAACGGGGGTGATACCCGATTATTATATTAGGGCTTTTGAGGTAGTGTAGAGGACCTTAATACAAGAGCAATAAATAGAAATGATACGGCTTTTAACTCTTTTATTCGTTGTTTTTTCTAAAAAATGTCGTCATTCGCTTTCATTTTGGAAACGTTCCGTACCACACATACCACCAGTTACCTTGGGATGGTTATAACTCTGAAAGTCTATCTACTGATCTCAGAACTTATTAGAAACTTAGGGAATGTTCTCGAAAAAACGAAGAGAAAGATTATCAATATACAATTCAAAGCTTGACACCGAAGGGTGTGGATGTAGGTGTGGCTGTGGGTGTGGGTGTGGGTGTAGTTGCAGTAATAAAGAGGCACACTCCACACAAACGCACGTTCACCCACACCCACGCCCACATTCACACCCAAAACCGTGCAGAAAAGATTTGTTAAATGGATTTCCGTTCCCAAGGAACGGAATCCTAAGGAACTGGGATCCCTGGCACCTCTACTCAATGATGATCTGTGTTTGATTTCGAGTCGAAAGATGATTCTATACGAACTTTACATACCTAAAATGAAAGCTAAGAGAAATAGGAGCTTCTTTACAAGCGCATCCCTCATTTAGCAAATAAGACAAGCATATATTTGTTCTAAGGAGAAGTCTCCTCTCTTTTTCGAAAGATTTCTATATCAGATCAGATAAGAAAAACTTGTTTATTTATTTATTTTGATTGTTATGTATTCAATAATTGCTGAATTTTCGAATAAAGTTTATCATCCCAAATTTGATAACCATAAAGATTGAGATGAACATTGTCAGCTAAATGATCTTTTTGTATTTCTTCAGGTGGTTCCATCCAATGAACACGATGGTTCGCTTCTGCTTGTCCGTTCGTTTCTTGTGTGTTAATCGTGTAAACAATTTGTTTTATATCCACATTTGATTGTAAAACACATTGTTCATCGACGTCTCTTCGTTTGAA